CTGGTATGGCCGGTAGATCCATCTATGTTATAATATATTAAATTTTAAAAACAAAGAAAAAAGAGGAGTAAGAACAATATCCAATAAATACAATAATTCAAAAGAATACACAGAATTATATATAATCAATACTAAACACACACACACACACACATATATATATAAATATATATACAGATCATATATTAGATTTTCATGATACAATAAAATTCGAATTATATTTGTAGTGACTAGTCAGGATAAATGAGCATCATCATAATACTAATCAACAAAATGATATTTCACCTTAACCAATAATAAGATATTTCACCTCCATTTCTTACTCATTTAAATCCCCAAGGTCAAACCTCCAATTACAAATAATTCAAACTTTATCTTCTATAAACATAGAACAATATTTATCTTCATAAATACGTGAAGAAATAATAACAAGACGAATCCAAAATATCACAACTATATCATAGTTGATTATAAATATATTTACAATAAATATATTTACGTAAAAAGAATATATTAAGAGTACCAATGATATAAATAAATATGACAATCATTATAAAATAATTAAACAATATAAAATATGAACATCTTAATAATTATTATAGATAAAAATAATCATAAGTTAAGCAAATAGATGAGGTTAGGGACACCTCACTAAATAAATATATATAAAAAATAACATAAATAAATATACATAATAGTATATAAAATTTTAAAGAGATAAGGTTCTCCTCCCCTTACCTTAATAAATATGACAGTAATATAGAGAAAAGAGTCGCTAGTCTACTTATGCTTCAATTCTGAAACCGTTGTTTTCTACGTAGTGTGCCTCTCATTTCTCAACTCTTGCATCTATTTATACGCGAATTCTCACGCGTAACGTTATGAAAATTACCATATATTTTTTTTATTACTGTCATGATTACCTAGTTCATTTCTAAAACTTAGTTGGCTTGGTTTAGTTTACTTCATTTAATATTGGCATGTGCTTCCGCAGATAGATAAGATTTTCATCTCATCCATTCGTACATCAACTTTCTGTGCAAGTTTATCAAATTGAGTTTAATTTTGTTTTTCTTTTCCTTTAATTCTCATACGAAGTAACGTAATGCCTATCTAAAGTACATTGCTACAGGATATATATATATATATCTTTATGATTAATTACGTAGTTTGTTATATATATATATATATATTAATATATAGATATATATAGATATATATAAATTTATATTTATAACTGATCATGATAAAATATGTATATATTTAATACATAAGAAAATATAAATTCAACTAAATACTAATATTAAAACTTCATATCATACTATATACAATTTTATTGAAAAATAATAGTCTTAACTATAAAAGTAAGAATTTAAAATTGTAAATTTAGAATGTTATAAATATCATACTTTTTTTTTATTGGTTCTTAAAATATAATAAAAAATTGATTACTATTTTAAGAATAATAATATTGTACCTGAATTTTAGGATGTTACAATTCTAATTTTCATACCATTGTGTAAAATTTGAGATGTTACAAATAGTATTTTTTTTAACGAACAATGTTTAAATTTAAGAATTTGTGTATATTACCTCAACACTTACTACAAAATAATTAATTAATGATGTAGTTTTTAAATAATATATTTTTATACTAATTGTATATTAAAATTAAACTCTATAAATATTATCATCGTTAATGTATTTTTGGGTTTTTATTATGTTTTTTTTTTTAATTTATTTATAGATTTTGATCACTTCTCACAATAGAGTTTGGCAAAATTTTATTTCCTACATAATATGATGTCAAGAAATATACACATTTTAGGATCATCATTCTTATGAATTATAAATATTAAAAATAACGATTCTTAGAAATTATGAAAATTTATTTTATTGGTCATAAATATTTTTGAAAATAATTTTAAAAGTTATTAGAAAATTAATAATTTTTACCGTATTAAATAAATAAATAAAAATAATATGATATTTTTACTACATTAAAATTTTATTTTTATTTTGGAAAAGTTAGTTTCTCACTTATCTCATGAGAATATTTTGTGAGAAACTTATGAAAAATCATTCCTAAAAAAATAATATTATTGGAAATGGTATTTTTTAAAGAACAACTAAAATATGAGAAACTAATATTCTTAATCTCAAATTCTTTCAAAAGTTTAAGCTTTTCATACACCAACACTTTCTAAGAGTATATCCATTAAGAGTTGCTCTCCCAACATTGATTATATAAGAAACTAAAATACAAAATTTGTACTATCATAGAGAAATATTGAGAATCTCATTTATAAAACGAGTTGCTTCTTTCATGAACCGGTTCTCATTCACATTGTGGGGTCATGTTTTAATATATAATAATATAAAATTCTTTTTTTTTTTATTTATATTTTTTGGAATATATTTATCTTTTTCTTGACTGCTGATATGACATTCATAATATATCTATAATATATCTACATTCTCTCCAAAACGATGAGAATGAAATAACAATGATAAGTCTTAAGATGAGGAAAAAATAGGTCAAATATTTTGTTTAGTTCCATAGCCATAATCGAAAGTGGAATTATTTAACTATTTTATGATATATATATATAT